TTGGATTTAAGTATTTTCATAATCACTAAATCTAGTACTTTATGTCCCCTGCCTGGATGATGAAAAATGCTCAATAGGGCTACCCATGGACATGGTAGAAACTCCGAGTATATACACTATAAATGAGAACAATATGACTCTGTAAATTATCAAAAAGCAAGCCAAAAAAAAAAAAAGCCTGATACAGACGAAGAAGAAGAGATTGGATTTATATCCCGCCCTTCACTACCCAAAGGTGTCTCAGAGTGGCTTACAAACTCCTTTCCCTTCCCCTCCCCACAACAGACACCCTGTGAGGTAGGTGGGGCTGAGAGAGCTCTGACAGAAACTGCTCTTTTTCAAGAACAGCTCTTATCAGAGCTATGGCTTGCCCAAGTTCATCCAGCCAGGTGCAAGTGGAGGAATGGGGAATCAAACCCGGTTCTCCCAGAGTAGAGTCTGCGCACTTAACCACTACACCAAACTGAGACAAAATATATGTTCTAAAAATGACACAGTGTTGAGAGCACTGCACAGACAGTTAAAGGAAAAAAGGAAGAGAGGCAAAATTGGCTTGAAAACACACAGAATCCTAAAGGGGGAGATTTTGAGGGCTGGGATTCCCAGACTGTTTATTTCCCTCCTGCAATTACATTCTGCCCCCCCTTCCCCCAAGCTCGTACTGTCTACAGTAAACTGCCCTGTATCATTGTGTATGAGAGTCAAACCATAGGGCCACACAGCCAAGGGGGGTGTGGCCTTACCTACTTAAGGACTCCCTATAAACACAAGAGAAAAAAATTAGTTGTCCCATGTTAGCCAAAATAACATAAAAGCCTGGTTAGGACAGAATGTGCTCCAGGAAGTATGCCATGCTGAAACAGTCAAGTGCTTGTTCAAAGAGGGAGAAAGTAGAGGAGAAATTAGCACTGAGACTCTATGAAATCCTGGAGGGGAAGATGTTGCAGGATGGCGGTAGACTTTCTAAACTGTTTCCCATTATTTCCTTCTGATCCCCCAGCTTGTGTCTTTAGTACTTCTAAAAGTGCGATCCTTAGAACACTTTCCTGTGAGTAAGTCCCATTCAATAAACCTAAATGGGATTTGTGAGTAGACTGCTTAGGTTTCCACCAGGAGTCCCTGTGAATATATATTCTTTTAACCAAGAAAAAGAGATAATAAATTTAAATGAGACAAAACAAATAAAAAGCTGTAGGATATACATGAGCATTTTACAGCTTTGACACCCAATTATTAAACAAGGGAAGAAGCCCACAGCCCTATTCTTAAGAGTATACCGTTGCTAAGGGACACTGCATATATTAGGCATGTGAGGTCAAATCACTGAATGAGAAAGACTTTGAAGAAGCAGGAACATTGGAACTGCTGGGGGGAAATGTCATTAAAATGTTCTTGTCCATTTCATTTCTTTAGTCTAAAACATGTTAGTCATCTTTTTTATGGCACAGAACTAGGAATCCACTCACATTCCCCTCCCCACCCTGTGTTGCATTACTTTATTTCACCCTTACACATATGTGACTGCTGTATTTAAAAATCTCAACCCTTACCAAAAAGCTGAATGTGGGGAAAAAATGAGGAGAATCAGGCCTGAAGAAACGAGATGAGATCAAGCATAGTCTTGGGCTGGCTCTTGTGTTAGAAGAACAGCAGATGTGTGTGGAAAAAACAAACATGACTCTTTCTTCTGTACTTTAAACACACTTTTCTTTTAGCACACATTTTTGTGGTCTGTGCTGGGGAGGGGAGAGTATCTGGTTTTAAGGTTACACAAGGCTCTTGTTTGTTCCAGTGGGAAGCATCACAGCGAATAACTGGCATGGTTCACCCCACATGGTCCCTGTCTTCCCATGCAATTCCTCCTTCCTGTATCACTGGAATGGCAGGAAGCAGCCCTGGGAGAGACGCAAGCATGGAGCTCCTTTGACATAAGAGCTACCAGCCCTTTGAAACCATTCTAGCAGCAAATGATTACAGCCCAAGTAAACACATTCCATGGAAGATCTGGCAGTGTATGTCAACCTTCTCCTCAATGTTAAAAAGAAGACGGGGGGGGGGGGGCGGATTTTGAAGCACTGGGTGGGAGTGGAGTGGTTCCGCCATTTCTCCAACAGAAAATGTCTTTCAGAGTAGCTTTTAGCCATGAGAGGGGTAAAGAGAAGCAAGCATGCCCAATATGGATATCTGTCTTTCTCCCCTGGTGTAACCAAGAGCTTCTCTGAAGGGAAGCAAATTTCTCCACAGGAAATGTGAAATCCTCTTCCCTCAACACTACGACCACGGAATAAACTATGTCATCACTACCCCTCAATGGCTGTTTAATCTGTAGCAGGCTAGCCAGATCTCGTCAGACCTTGGAAGCTAACAGGGTCGGCCCTGGTCTGTACTTGGATGGGAATCCACCAAGGAATACCAAGGTGGCAACATGGAGGCAGGCAATGGCAAACCACCTCTGGATGCCTCTTGCCTTGAAAACCCCACACGGTTACCCTAAATCAGCTGCGACTTGATGGAGGGGGGGAAGTATTAGATCTGATTATGGGATATGCCATATTTTAGCCATTTTTAATGGAAACAGATCATTGTTTGGGGGAGAGAATGAAAAGTATAGAACACACAAGCAATTCATGCTACAGAGCAGATTTTGTACGCACCCTCCTAAAGGCTATGTGCAGACAATCTGTACATACTCTAGCCTCAAGCAGTTTAGGGGTTTGAAGGATATCCAATATGAGGAAAGGAAGTATTTTTGACCAATGATCAGGCCTAACTGTGTTCTGAGATATGCCCCCCCCCCCCCGGAATATTTCAAGCTAGATTTCAATAAAGTTCAAATTCTGCTTGAAAATTATATAAACTTATGGTTATTATTATGCATAAAGGTAAAGTAAAGGTAAAGGTTCTCTTGCTCGAAAGCCAGTCGAATCCGACTCTAGGGTTGCGGTGCTCATCTCCGTTTCAAAGCCGAAGAGCCAGCGCTGTCCGGAGACATTTCCGTGGTCATGTGGCTGGCATGACTAAACACCAAGGCGCACAGAATGCTGTTACCTTCCCACTGAAGTGGTAACTATTTATCTACCTGCAATTTCTTGCTTTCAAACTGCTAGGTTGGCAGGAGCTGGAACTAGAGATGGGAGCTCACTCCGTCATGCGGCACACTCAGGTCTTGAACTGCTGAACTACCGACCTTCCACAGTTTGCAGTTCAGCGTCTTAACCATGTGAGCCACCGCAGCTCCTGTTATTATGCATAAGTATAATTTAATCCCCACAATTAATTGGGGTCATAATATTTGGGTTTTGCTTTTTTTGCTAATTTAAGATATGTTGGCAATAAGTGCAAGGAAGTTGTAGAAGGAGAAGAGAAAAGATAGGATTGGATTGATACCCTGCCCTTCACTTGGAGTCTCAGAGCAGCTTACGATCACCTTCCCTTCCTCTCCTCACAACAGAACCCTGTGGGGCTGAGAGAGCACTGAGAAAACTGCTCTTGAGAGAACTTCTCTCAGAGAAGGAGGAGGAGGAGGAGGAGATTGGATTTATACCCCGCCCTTCACTACATAAGATATGTTGGTAATAAGTGCAAGGAAGTTGTAGAAGAAGAAAAGAGAAGAGATTGAATTGTATTTATACCCTGCCCTTCACTTGGAGTCTCAGAGCAGTTTACAATCTCCTTCCCTTCCCCTCCCCACAACAGACACCCTGTGAGGTAGGTGGGGCTGAGAGAGCTCTTTCAAGAACTGCTTGTGATAGAAAAACTCTGAAACAACTTGTAACTGACACAAGGTCACACTGGTTCTCCATATTAGAGTTTGCCGCTCTTAACCACTACACTAAACTGGCACATGGGTCAATATAGGGAGAATGTGGAGAACAGCAATGTTCAGAGGATAGTGAAATTCTGAATTCCAGTGATAGGAGGCAACATCAGGGTAGACCTCGATCTCTTGGTCCAGTTTGTTGCCCTCTAGGACAACTGCTTAAACACTGTGTGAAACAGGGTGCTCAACTGGATGGACCCCTGAACTGATCTAGTAGGGCGCCTCAATAAAAAGACAGCCATATAAATATTTTAATTAATTAATTATGTTATTAGATAAACACCTGCAAAGGGTAGAGGGGAATAAGCTGTATTAGAAGGTGCACACACCCCTTAATCACTGGACACTGAACACTTTTTTTTGGTCTATGAATCTTCACACAAAATTTAACTTCTTTTCTTTGCATGAACTAGAAATTGAAATACAATTTGATAGTTTCAGAATTCAAATTCATACTAGATACTAAAACAGTGCGTAGAGCATACTCATTGTGCAGATGATCACAGTGAGATACAAGGTAAAATTTTCCTTAACAGGATACATCAAGCACCAACCTAAATGAGAATACATTAAATGAACAGTCTACCAGTGGTCTAAAGACATTATAATATACACCCACGTAAATTAATTATGGTGATACTGTAATGAGATTCTCTAAAGAGCAGAGCAGATGCATGCAGAAAAGAGACCAAAACCCTCTCTGTATTAATCAGTTTGAACTCCAGTGGCACAGCCATAAATTTCAGAGGTACCTAAGATCATTCATAAGAGGTAAACATTCCCAGTGAAACAGGGGAGCTTCTTCTTAATTTAACTAAACATTATTACACTCCTAGTAGTGGCTCTCCAGGGCTAGAGAGGAGCACTCTCTGCCATCCTAATTTCCAGCACTTATGACTGTCAGAGAAAATGGCTGCCTATACACAAAAGCCAAAAGAAAAAGAAAGAAAAAAATCACCACCAGAGATTTTTCTTTTTTTGGTCATGAGCTAGAACTTAAATAAATATTTGGGATCTAATTTCTCCACCACTTTTTTGTATTCTAATGTCAACTTCATGATTGGAAGAGAGCCATTTATAATTCTCCCTCTACCAAAAAAAGCTCTTGATTCTCATGGGACTTGTCAAGAAAGAATGGAAGTGCACTGGAAGCAATTTATGTGGCCAACTTTGCAATTACCTGGGTAATACCTGGCAAGGCCAGTCGCACTGCCAAAAACTTGCCACAGCAATGTTTGATCTTCTTCTCTGTTCTTTTTGAAGACATCATCGAGTGCACCTGTCCAGTTCAGTTCATTCAGTACTATGGTAGCTGCAGAAAAGGAAAATAGTGGTGTTAACGGAGCCTTCGCTGTTGTTTGTCTGTTTTATACCTTGCAGACCTCTCACTGAGAGAACAATATGAACTTTTGAAACAAACAAACCAAAAGATAAAACTTTCACACAGACCCTCCTCCCGCAAAAAGGGTCAACAGTATAAATGAGGATGTTTTTTAAAGAGGGCTATTGATAATAAATTGTAAACAAATAATCTAATTATTAAAATTATAGCAGTATTGTTTCACCATATGAAATAAAATTCTCTCTATCATGTACTCCCCCCCCCCTGCCCTTCCTCCAAGGAGCAGAAGATGGTGTACATGGTTCTTCTTTCCCCATTTTATCCTCACAACAATCTTAAGAGGTAGGAAAGGTTGAGAAAGAGTAAGAGACCCAAGGTCACTCCGTGAGTTTCATGCGAGCTAGGATGCAACCCTCAGTTTCCCATGACATCACCACCAATTAACCCCCCCTCAATGTTTAAGAAGGGGTATGATTACCAACTACATATTTATCAGAGTAGATGAACACTATTGACAGAATTGGAAGCCACAGACTTACCAAAGGCCGCTTTGCGGCCACAGGGCTAGGTGCTGAGGTGTAAGGGGACCACGTTCCCTGCCATGGCAGTTTTGGGGCCTCCTGTAGACGGCCTTCTTGGTGGCCAGCCGATTGTTGGCTAATTGGGGAATGCATCCTGCAGGACTAGTTGTAATAAAGGGATTACAGGGCTTCTGTTTTCAGATTTTGCTATGGACCAACCTGGCTGTCTGCTAGGTTTGCCATTTGCATGCTCACAGTGTGTATATCTCCATCCTTGGCCCTAATCCTCTACCCTTGAAAAATTGAGAAGTGGGAGAAAAAACAGTTACAACATCGATGTTCTAGGAATTTCATCATGTCTCTATAGTCTTTACCATAAAGAGAAAATCCTAGAGCATCACCCAGAAATGACATCACATCCTCCCCAAACTCTACCTGCCCTAAGCATCACTATCAGAATCTCGTGGCATTTGCCAAGTTAGTGCCGGCAGTCCTATTGTCTACTTTTTAAAATATGATTCATATTCAATTTGTCTTTGGTGGGTCTCTCCAGAGTCTGTATCCTATTCACCAAGAATGCAGCTATCATTTATATGATCACAACGTGTTCATGTATGTAAACATCAAGCAGTGCACCAGAGGACGTTCTGAGGCAGCTGCAGCAGTTAATATAGGTTCCCTTTTCCAGAAGGAATGTTAAATTATCAAAACAGGTGCCAAAAGGAGTAAGAAAAAGGCAGAAGGAATAGTAACATTAGCATTGTAAAGTTGAGCTGGGACCAAAATCCAAGAGTGCTTATTATTGTAAGTTAAAAGTGTTTTCATGTTTATGCATGTGATCATTTGCAGACAGATCAGCTGTGTGCACATTAATATTCATGAACAGGGCCAGCCAGAATTAACTAGAAATACAAGAAAAAATATATTCATGGCCATGATCAAATAAACACTAAGTGGTCAATGAAATTGAAATTCAGATTCCTAAAGCTGACCTCAGCCAGTTCTTGGGCCACTTACACAAATATTCATATCAGTGGGAAGTATGTAATTTTAGAGCAAAGAGCTAGATGGCTTTACAAGACCACGCACATTTCCAAACAATGCAACATTAATCATCAACAGAACAAACAACGAGACTTAATTATGAAGCTGATAAACAACTATGGCTTTCAATCGGCTTTAATCAGCCCCAAATAAATCCCTAACATCCAAAAATAACTCGCACACACTAAGCAACAGCTGGCATTCAGTTAATTGGAACAGAACAAGGTTTTATTTGTCAGATGGAGCATTATCATTTTCCCTTTGTCTGTTTGGATGGTGTCTTGGTTGGACGTAAAGAGGTTGCCAAGCTGGCAAACTACACATTCATTAACAAAGGATTAAAAGAGTGGGCGCTTAGCAAAGTAAACATGCAAGAAACAAATCTCCAACACACACCCAGATATAATTTCATGAACCTTTTGAACACACCATCATTTATTTATACGAATTTTCATCCCCCCATTTATGTGGTAGCCATAAGAAATTCAAATACAGGCAATTGTGCTCTGCTTAGTTCTCCAGCAAAGCTTTGGCAGTACAAAGATTTATAACTCAGCTGCATCCCACAGTTGTGCTAATGTGGAAGAGGCAGGCAGAAAATTAAAAGTTAGCCTCTCACAATTTCAGGTAGTTCCAGCCATCTATCTGTTGCTAATGCAGCAAGGGGAAAGCAGCCCATTAAGCTGCCCTTTGTAAACTGTAAGGGTAAATGAACTCTTGGAACGCCGGATGTTCTTTTAGCCGAACATTCAAACTTGCAGTATATTTGTGCAAGCTACATAAAAGAACCCTAAGCGGGTCAGAACCTTACTCAGATCTATTCAGTAGGGCTTACTCCCAGGAAAGTGTTGTTTGGATGGCGCAAACTAGTCAAATAAAGTTTAAATTTCTCTGGGTTCTTACAATTTACAAATAACCGTCAAACATAAAATATTGATGGGTGTCATACAAAAAATGTGTATATTAGATATTGCATGCATACATACACACACAAAATTAATGTATGTAAATCAGCAATGTATATATTTCATGGTATCTGTATGTAATTCTCAACAGCCCCCTCTGTGTGCGGATACTTATTTCAACAGAGGGCACACTCTCCCCCAACAGGTGTTTTTTTTTTTTACAGACTCAGGAGATTCCATGGGTCTGTAGAAAAATCTGAAAGGAAAAAAGAAAAACTTTGGAGGGTTTAAAGTCCCACCCCCAAATAAAAAGCATTGTCTGCACATGCACAGACAATACAACTGTAGTAGAGATGGGACTATAAAGATTTCCCCCTTTTTTGATTATTCATATTTCTCTGGTTTTTATAGATTTATTCTTAAATAACATTTTATTGGGATGTTAGAAAGGCCTGCTATATAGAAGGCTTTCCTCTTGTAGGTCTGATATTGTTAACAGACAACATAATAGGTACAAAGTTCATGATTCTGTAGTTCTTAAGGGCAAAACCTTGCAATGTCTGGGTCAGATAAGATTTTAGTCTCGTATTAATGATGAATACTTTTGTTTGGGGTATAAAGATTCCTTGCCCATTATCATTTCAGATTAGGTTAAGTAAACACTTAGGTTTTACGTAGATTTGATGTAGATATATGTTTATTTACATCTGACAAATCAGAGGCTTATTATTCAAATGACCACTGTCTTTTGTAACCAATTATGCTTTTTGAATATTGTTTTCTTAATGATGTCAGTCCATGTATAAAATATCATGTATTTCCTGAATATGCTCAGAATATGTTCAAGAAGAAGAAGAAGATGATGAAGAAGAAAAAGAAGAAAGTTGTCAATTTTCGATTAGTTATTTGGTCCAATTGTTTTCCTGTTAATTGAAGCATGTTCCCTGAATATGCTGAGAAGAAAGTAGTCAATTTTGGATGGACTATTTGGTCCAACTGTTTTCTTGTTAATTGAAATAAAACATAGATCTTCCTCCTCATTTGACTTCATTTTTGACATGGAATCTAATATGTACAACACAACTTACATTTGAGGGCATGGATGATGCTTCTGCTCCTGTAGAGCCATTCCAGGCCCAACCATGGCGGCAGGGAATGGCAGGAACTGCTCCAAGCCTGAGCAGTGAGGAATGCTGGGAAGAATTCTGGGCCCTGCTGCAGTGGCATAGAACTCTGGGAGAGGCTCTGGGCCCAGCCGCAGTGACAGCAGATGCCAGGAGCTGCTCCAGGCCTGGCTGCCATCAAGAACTGTTCCAGGCTTGAAGCAGCTCCCAGGCACAGCCACCACAGCTGCCAAGCTCAAAGGTAAGGAAAAAAAAGGGAGGATTGGCTGGGGAGGGGGAGAGAAAGGGAAATATGGGGGTATTGGCTTCGAGGGAAAGGGTTTTGCCTTTGGGGGTTGCCCAAAAAGGTCCTGAGTGAGTTCAAGCTGATTCGCCACCTGTCCTACACTAAGGGCTCTGCCACCAATGAGGCAGTAGCTCCAGGATTTTGCTTGATGAGGTACATTTCTTTACCATGCCATGTGCATAGTTAAGTCCTGCAGCCCAGGCATATTTATGGCCAGGTGCAATGTGCAGTCAGCTGTCCACCCAGGGGATTATTGCCTGCTTGGCTTCAAACTTGATAGCCATTGGTATGTCACTAGGACCATGCCCTTGGGCTGTTCAGTGGCCTGAACAGCCTTCACATTTCTTAGCACATTTCTCAAATGGGCAGTCAAGGATTGCACTCATTCCTGACATGTCACATGTTACCTGGACAATTTCCCCTTTGGAGGCACAACAAGGATTCCCGCTTGTACCTCACATCTAGCTGCCCTTCAGGTCTCACCTGCTTAATTGGGGGGTCTTTTAGCCCAGGACAAAATTGAATGCTCCTCTACCCAGCTGACCTGTTCTGGAATCCTACTTGATTCAGTCCAGGGCACCTCCCACTTGCCAGACAACAAGTGGGCAGCCCTGCAAGTTCTCTTCTGTCTGGTCATCACCAGCAAGAAGTGCACACTGAGAGAGGTTCAGGGGCTCCTCAGGCACTTTAACTGCCTGCAGGGCTGTGTCACCTGGGTAGACCTTCTGTGCCTGGCTCACCTTGGCCACCTCCAAGGTGTTATGTCTGCACCATCATATTAGAACTGAGTTATGAAGGCAGACCTTCAGGTGTGGCTCGGTATCTTCTAAAAAGATGTAACAGGGTTTTCCATCTGGCAGTCACTGCTGGGCCTGGACAATTCCTTGCAGTTTTACATCAATGCTGCAGGCAGCTTGGGTTTGGGTATTTACCTGGAAGGCCTCTGGTATGCCCAGAGTTGGCCATCCCGCTGGGCTGGGATCTGGCCACCAATACAAACTGCCACCAGACCTGTTCCCAGAGGAGTTGTGGACACTTGGCAGCGAGTCATTGTCAAGACTATCTGAGTCCATTGCATCCTCTACTTGGC